TTTTATAAAAGAAATAAAATTGTTATGATTTAAGGCTTGGTTTGGCATAATCTAAAAAAGTCAAAAAGTCATTATCCTATTTAAGTCACATCATCTTATACATCACTTCAAACCTAACCCATACTCAACCCATATTTCATAAAAAGTAAAAAAATACACTTATTTAGTCTATCCCAAACAACTACTTAAATGTGATATTTTATTAGATTAAAAAAATTATTTTATCTTTTTTGAACCCGAAGGATTAAAAAAAAAGAAGCAAACGCGAGTAGAGCTCTACGCACCACGCGCATGCTAGTCTATCTCATTAATGGCATCACTCAAAATACGACTACGTCCCACCACTTCCAATCTCCCACCACTTCCTCAGATTTTCGACTCGCTTTCTCTCTCTCTTACACTGGTGCTGCAGGTACTCTCTCTCTCTCTCTCTCTCTCTGTCACTGCTCTAAGGAAGTCCAACGAAAATCCTCTCTCTCTAAAACTCACTCTCTCTCTCTCTCTCTCACACTGCTCTAAGGAAGTCCAACAAAAACCCGAAATGTAATATTAGATTACGAGATCTTGTTTCAAATTTTTGTGATTTTCTTTTATTTGTGTTTACCGAATTAATAGATTTATGCTGAAGGAAAGTGATAAATTTGTTTCAATTTTTTATTTTTTTTTTCGTTCTTGTTTACCAAATTGGTAGATCTCATGAGATTCTCAGTTGCATTTGAGTTGAGGTCCAATCCGATACTCGAACATATACTGACTGTGAAACCGAATAGCATAAGCCGACGGTTTCAAAAGGGGTTTATGTCGAATCAGGTTGACATTTTCTCCATCCGAATGTTGGCAGCCAGTTGACGGTTCAGGGGTAAACCCGAACTGACCCAACCATTCATATTCTAAGAATGTTAAATGTATAACTGCATGTGGAACATTCTTTTGTAAATCTCTAGAGTTTAATGAATACCCATGTTGGAGATTTGATGGCAATGTAAATGTTGAGACTTTATTTTCTGTATACATTAAGTAATGGAAGTTATTGTTATGGAAACAAGATTATGTAATTGCAAGTTGATAAATCTTTATTGTGTTCATTATTCGGGGTGTGACAAAATTGTTATAAAAAAAAAAATACCGTCGAAATTGACATAAACTCTGGTTCCTGTTACAAAAAATAGAGTACATACTAAATGAACCAACCAAAAATACGCATGCACAACTTTTTTAAATTTGTATAAAATAAAATAAAAGTGTTCCTCATCAAAAGAGTTCTATGATATATATATATATATATGCATGGGAAATATTGTCTAAGAAAAAAAAAATTTACTCCGTCTTTACTCAATTATGCACCTTCTCCTTAAAGGGTTTATGTAGCAAAATAAATTAGGTTATCCATTTCACCAAATAAGGGTCCAATGGAAGGGTCTTGTTTTGGCTAAATTTCCCATTAAACATCAAGTTGTGCCAACAGCGACCCTCTCTCTATAATTAAATATCACAAAAAATTGTAATTGGGACATATGATATATACCCAAAAAGATATGTATTATAAAATTTTTCTTAATATAATTATGTTAGATATATAAAATTTATTACTATATTTTTTTCAAACCTTACAAATATCAGTATAATTTAGAGATGCAACTCGAGTGAGTTTGATCAGATTGAGAGGTTGTTCAAGCCTAATCCAAGTTGTGTTGAGACTTGCCTATGCTCAAATTGTAACATAAGATTGTCTGTCCAAGCCCGATCCGAATTAATGCACATAAATTTCAATTTTTTTTTATAGTTAAATTATTAATTTGTTAAAATTAGATTATATTTACATTTTTTTAGAAAATTATTAATAACATGAAAAGAAATAATTTATATAATGTAAGATAAATGTTGCTATGGTAGTCTTTACAATTTATGAGTGATAATAAAAAATTAAAAAAAAATTATTTTGTTACTTATGTATATAATATATAGGGCACTCGGGCGAGAAGTCCAATTTGGGATTTTTTTTGCCCAAAGGTCCCAGCATTGAAAATCTTTGTCCATAAGGACAGATATGTATTACAAAATTTTTCTTAATATAATTATGTTAGATATATAAAATTTATTACTATATTTTTTTGAAACCTTACAAATATCAGTATAATTTAGAGATGCAACTCGAGTGAGTTTGATCAGATTGAGAGGTTGTTCAAGCCTAATCCAAGTTGTGCTGAGACTTGCCTATGCTCAAATTGTAACATAAGATTGTCTGTCCAAGCCCGATCCGAATTAATGCACATAAATTTCAATTTTTTTTATAGTTAAATTATTAATTTGTTAAAATTAGATTATATTTACATTTTTTTAGAAAATTATTAATAACATGAAAAGAAATAATTTATATAATGTAAGATAAATGTTGCTATGGTAGTCTTTACAATTTATGAGTGATAATAAAAAATTAAAAAAAAATTATTTTGTTACTTATGTATATAATATATAGGGCACTCGGGCGAGAAGTCCAATTTGGGATTTTTTTTGCCCAAAGGTCCCAGCATTGAAAATCTTTGTCCATAAGGACATGCTCAGGCAAAATGTCCAAATTACCCCTTTATTCCTACCGTTGAATCACACTTATAAAACACACTGCTGAGACAGTCATACGCACAAACCCTAGTCTCTCTCTCTCTCTCTATGTGTGTGTGTATGTGTGTGTGTGTGTGTGTGTGTGTGTCTAAAAAACCATGGCTTTAAGGAGGCTATTATCTTCTCTCCTCCAATCATTCCATTGCCATGCCCCTTCTATTGCCTTTCTCCCAAGGGCTTCCTCCTCAACCGTGTCTACCACCGTCGTCGGCTTCCCTCCACCATTTATCTCAGATCTGAGACAAGGCCGGCCTTGAGAATTAGGAGGCCTAAGGCGAATTTCGGAAATGGGAGCCCCTCTTACATTGAAAAAAAGAAGAAGTTCATGTATAAAACGATAAGTTATAACTTTTTTATTTGTTTGTAGCCACAAAAAAATTTATTTGCACATATAATTATTAAAATTATAAACAAAACAATTTAATGAAACAAAATTAGGACAAAAAAATTAGGAAAAAATTGTTCAACTAAAATTGATAAAGACCTAGGAAAAAGAATTAGGGCAAAATTATTTATTCTACTAAAATCTAATAGATAAATAAGGTAAAAAAAAAAATTAGGGCCCATATATTGTATGTATTGTTCTTCTTGGGCCAAGACACTTTTTTTTTTAATATATATTTTCATTTTAATAAATATGGGTCAAACTACACTTATAAATAAATATGGGCTAAACCATATATGGATCCAATAAAATATTTTGGGGCCCTTTAAATTGATCCTAAAAAAAGAAAAAAAAACCCATTGAGCCTCTAACATTTTACTAAATTTTGGTGTTTTATTTTTAGGCCAAAATTTTGGAGCCTAAGGCACAGGCCTTGCTGGCCTTAGGCCAGGGCCCTGATCTGAGATATGAAAGAGAAGTAAGATGGTGAGAAGAAGAGGAGAAGAGACAAGAATGGTGAGCTCCGCCATTCAGGTGATTTGGGCGGCGGAGATGGAGATCTAGCCGGCGTAAATCTGAGAGTGGAAATGTCAGCTTCAGCATTCTCTGCCGTCCTTAGCTTTCTCTGCCGCTCGATCTTCTGGCGGCGCTTCACCATCCACGGCATAGTTCGGTCTATATCTCTACAGATTTCTTAGATTCGCATTGAAAACAAAAGGTCCAAAGAAGTGAGAGCATGAAATAATGTCCGAATGAGAAAGAAGATGATATTCCTTTGGGATTTGACTAGAGGAGGAGAGTCGATAGTGCTGATCTTGTTCATCAGCATTGAAAAAGAAAATGCATAGCTCATCCAGTTTTCAATTATTTATATTGTACGGGGAGCAAATATTCCGGCGTGCCCGTATTCCTTTCTTCCGAGCTCCGTCGATGTCCGATCACCTGCGAGCAAATAATGGTGAGCTACTATATATATATTTTTGTAATACTTCTTCTTGATGATAAGGATGATGATCTAAGATGTGTTTGTTTGTTTGTTTGTTATTATTATTATTATTATTATTATTATTGTTATTATTTGTTGATGATGGTGATGAAACATAATGCAATAAATGGAGAGAAAGAAAGAAAAAAGAAAGATTTGAATAGATAATTTGGTTTGGCTTGTATGTCAATAGATAGAAAACAAAATTGAACAGAGATGTTTTCAATGGATAGAAAGATAAAATAAAAGTAGAGAGAGAAAGAGATAGAGAGAGAAAAGAGAGACGGAAAGAGAAACAAATAGAGAGAGAAAAGAGAATTTGATAAAGGCACAAATAGAGAGAAACCCATAAAATTTGAACTAATAGGACAAAAAATTAAGCAAATAAAGGAAAAAGTTGAATAGATAGATATAAATTTGAACAGGTAAAAAAAAATTGAACAAATAGTCACCGAAAAGTCAACAGTTAAATTTAGGGGTAAAATTAGAACCAAATTATCCTCCAAAATCAATGAAAAGATTTCTCACCAAACTATTTTCACAAAGGGTAAACCCCTCACCATTAAAAAATATATATTGGACCTAATGCCTTATATACTTTTGAAATTGAATTTATCACTAATTTACTCAAATATATATTTAATATGATTTAACAATCTAAATTACTTTATTATCATCTAATGGTTAATAATATATATATATATATATATTAAATATTTTTATTTTTAGATATAAAAAAAAAAAATTTAAAAATCTTTAAAAAATTCACTAAATACAAAAAATTGCTTGTTTCCATTTTTCAAAAAACACTTTTCAGAAAATTCTACTTTCTTATTTTTCGTGTTTTTTTGTTTTTACTGATTTTTTTTTAATATTTTAAGCATTTTCTTTTATTTTTAGACACACTTAACATAAATACACATAAAAAGTATAATTTTTGTGAAAAAATCTTTTAAAACGTCAATAAATATCAAAAATACAAAACGAATACTTTCCAAAGGAGGCTCTGGATTGAACCCACCCACGTATAAAGAAGAGGGATTATTGTAGTCCTGAGAAGTCCACCAACAAACGATTTGGTTATTTCTGAGAAATTTTGGTTAAAAATGATTCCATATAGAATCCGCGAAGAAACCTCGCAGCAATTTCTTTGATTCTTCAATCTGGGTAACCGCGTTTTTTCCTTTTATTTTTATTTTTATTTTTTTAGAAAAAAAGGAAAAAGAAAAGGATAATGTTAAAGATTGACTTCGACATGACTCAGCTTGGATTTAAAGAGAGCTTCAGAGGATTTGCATCTCACAGCAAAGATTTGAAGAAGGAAACCCCTCATCCAATTGAACTGAGATCAAACTGTACAGACTCACTCCATTTCCGGTGAAAGCTTCTTCAACTCCTCTCTGCTACATCAGCAAGCTTCGATTCGTTCCATAGCAAGCTCTCCCACCACTCACCAGGTATCAATCTCTGTCTCTCTCTCTGTCTATACCCTTCTATTCTATCTCTACTAACTACTTCTAAAAGCAACATTGTTTGAGATTTTGATGTCTAATTTGTGCTTTTTATTTTTGTCTAGCACAATTTCATTTACTAACTTGTGAAATTCTATAATACACACACCCATGTCCCCAGTCATGCCGGTGGTTGTGATTTTGGTTATAATCTCTTGTTATTATTATGGTTATTGTGATGTTAGTTATAATCCGTCGTTGTTATTATGGTTATGATCGGAAATGTCTTTGATTATATGCCGGTGGTTGTTAGGACTTATTGTGATTTTAGTTATAATCTCTTATTATTATGATTATTGTGATGTTAGTTATAATCCGTTGTTGTTATTATGGTTATGATCGGAAATGTCTTTGATTATAGCTTATTGTACAGTTTGGTCATAATTCATTATTATTTTTAGTTATGATTAAAAGAGATTTAGTTATGATATTTGTGATAATCGATCCTACAAACATGAACAGGCATGTATTCTAGAATGACCGTACTAACTTTAGTAAATAGACAAATGAAGCAATATTTGCTTGTTCTTTTTTCAATGTTAATGCACACACAATAAGCTGCTCAACTGTATGATTATATTGTACTCAATTATGTCAACCAAAAAATGTGTAGTTAGAGCATACCATTCATCAATTTTTTCATATAATTTAATTCTAAATTAGAGTAAAAAGGTTGATTTGATATGAATTATTCCAATCTTTTCATCAAATTTTTATCAAAATCCTTTTAAAAAATCTCATCTTATCCCAAATTTCCCTTTTTATATAATTTGATGAAAAAAAATATCATCTCCAATGCTTCATCTTTTTAAATTTTCATCAAATTCAAATTTGATAAAGTGTTTGACAAGTCTTCAATTTGATGAGAAAAAAAAAATGACTATCCATTGATTTGACGAACATTTGATGAAAGAATTGAAGATGATTTTGAGAACTTTTTCATCAAATTTTAATTTGGTGAAAGAATATGTGAAGGATTGGAGATGCTCTTAATGGTATTATTATTATCATTTGGGTTGGTATAAATTGATATTTGTTTTAAAAAAAGTTCTCATAGGTAAATTTTTGCCTGTTAAGCAAGAGGATAGCAAAGTTATAAATTTTGTCTTGGTAGTACATGTATTTCTATTACTATGAAATTCATAAATGATGTTTTTGCCTCCAAAGTTAGAATTCTGGATTTGTCTTACTTGAAAGCTTGACCCCCTATGAAGCACCGACTCTTCAAAACAAGTGTCATACGGGTGTCGGACACGGGACACATAGGGGACACACCACTTATTTAATAAATTTGTTTTCAGGGAGCATGCTGGGACACGCCAACTAATTTCTGTCCTCTTTTCTTTATTGCTTTTTGATGGATGTTAGATGTTGAATGTTTATTATTTTTTGCTTTAGGTTTAAATATTTAATTGATCATCTGTAAAAAAAATATATAAACAGTAAGTGTTAATTTAAAAGTGATTTTTAAAAAAATATTGAATTAGTATTAGTTTTTGTTAATTTTGATGTTTGTGAATGAAATATTAATTTACATAGCAAATAAGAGTATATGAAAAAATTATTTTATTGTCATGCCTCCGCTGTATCCGTTTTTTAGGTCACTGTGTCCTGTGTCTGTATCCATATCTATATCTATATCCTTGTCTGTGCTTGTTAGAAACCCCTACTTGCCAGAGCCCCCTCCCTGTAATTTCATATTTTTGTTGTTCTCTGTCTTTTGAGCTTGAGATGATGAAGGATAATGATGTGTCATGCATGCTATATTTGACTGCTATTGTGTGAATTACTGCAATTTTATTTTGGTATTGGGAATTGGTAGGCAAAACTTATATAGGCTATTCTGCGAAGAAACCATGGTTTTGCTATTAAAAATAAGGAAAAAGAAAATCTTAAAGAATGACTTTCCTGTGCAGTTGATGTTGACTCAATTTTGATTTAAAGAGCTACAGATGAAGAGTTTCACAGCAAGATTTGAATAAAACCATCCTCAAACTTCAGTTATCCAAAAAAGTGATAAAGGCAAAAAAATTTCTGTATCTTTTCTCTCCCAATCATCCAATCCAAACAGACTGTTACAGGTTTGTTCAGAGAGAGGATGGCTGCTGCCGCAGTTGATTTTCTGCTGTTGAACCTGAAGCAGCTACTGATGTACAATGCAGATTTGATTTCCGGAGTGAAACAGCAAGTTGTATGCCTTCACGATGAGCTTAGCATGTTGAAGGCCTTCCTCAAGGACTCCACGGAGAAGGGCAGCGAGTATGAGATTGTGAAACAGCTTGTCAGACAAATCAGAGACGTAGTGTACGCAGCCGAAGATGCCATCGACACATTCGTCGTTCATGCTGCTATGCAGAGAGCGAGAAGCACATTCTCCAAAGTCATTCATGGAATTGATTATCCAACAAAGCTTCGCAACGTTGCAGAAGACATCCAAAACATCAGGCAAAAGGTTGATGACATTTACAAGAAGCCAACGTTTGGCTTTGGAGTCGCACAACGGGGAGAGCCTTCTACTAGAGGCTTGCCGGAGAGAAGGGCTCCGGTGGTAGAGGAAGAAAATGTGGTGGGCTTCGACATGGAGGCCAAAACCCTAGTTGATCTATTGAATGGAGGAAAAGAGGAGCTTGATGTTGTCTCGGTCATTGGTATGGGTGGTCTCGGTAAGACCACTTTGGCTAAGAAAGTTTTTACAGATCCTGCAATTGAGTTTGAATTTTATATTCGGGCATGGATTTATGTTTCTCAAGAATATGACAGAAAGGAAGTGTTTATTAGCATTTTGGGTTCTCTTGACAAGCTGACCGATGAGATGTATAGATGGAGTGATGATAAGTTAGCTGATGAGCTTCGTGGACATTTGCAGACTGGGAGGTACCTAATTGTGATGGATGATGTATGGACAAGAGAGGCTTGGGATGATCTCAAAATGGCATTTCCCAAGAACAACAACAGAAGCAGAATATTGTTAACTAGTCGAAACACAGAAGTTGCTATTCATGCTAACCCAGATAGGAATAGCCCTCCTCATCTTCTGCGATTTCTGAATGAGGACGAAAGTTGGGAGCTACTTGAGAAGAAGGTGTTCCGGAGGGAAAGATGTCCTTCAGAGCTGGTGGATCTCGGTAAGCAAATCGCGAAGGAATGCGGTGGACTACCACTCGCAATTGTGGTGATTGCAGGGCTTCTCATGAAGAAGGACAAAACGTGTGACTGGTGGGAGAAAGTGGCTAAGAGTGTAAATTCATATGTTGCTAGAGATCCAAAGCAATGTATGGACATTCTAGCACTCAGTTACAAACACTTGCCATATCACTTGAAAGCCTGCTTCCTCTATTTCGGAGTTTTCCCAGAAGACTATGAGATCCCTGTGTGGAAACTGATCCAATTGTGGGTTGCTGAGGGGTTTATCCAGCAGGTTGGGGAAATAAGGTTGGAAGATACAGCAGAGGAGCAATTGGAAGATCTTGTTGATAGAAATTTAGTGTTGGTGGAGAAGAGGAGGTCAAATGGAGGGATCAAAACATGTCGCGTTCATGATATGTTGCGCGACCTCTGTTTGAGAGAAGCTGAAGAAGAAAATTTCTTGCATGAGATTAAAGGAATTCTTCAAGTTCCTAGTTTGTCTTTAAGCCCTGCACTGAACAAATACCGCCGCCTCTGTATCCATTCCCGTGTTTTGGACCATATTTCTACAAAACCTTCTGGTCCACACGTCCGCTCTTTCTTGTGCTTTGCCTCAGAATCAAGGGAGTTGCGCAGAGAACATACGTCATTCATCCATGATGCCTTCAAATTGCTTAGGGTTTTTGATATAAAGTCAATCTCTCTCCCACTTTTTCCTTCCAAGATAAAAGATTTGTTTCATTTGAGGTATGTATCCCTCTCTGGTAGTTTTGAAGTTCTTCCAGCATCAATCTCTGAACTTTGGAACCTCCAAACAATTATTATTGAAACATCTTCGCGTAATCTCAAAGTGGAAGCAGATATTTGGAAAATGTTGCAACTGAGGCATTTATTTACAAGTGCTTCTAGTCGTTTGCGGGGCCCTCCATCTAAAGCACGGAAGGGCGGCAAAGACCCCTTGGTTAGGAGAAACCTGCAGACCCTTTCGACAATATCCCCCGAAAGTTGTACGGCGGATATTTTAGCGAGGGCGCCCAATCTTAGGAAACTAGGAATTCGAGGCAACATAGCCACACTTATGGAGGACAAGGGAGGGTCGAGCATGTTTGATAACCTTACAAAATTAGATCAGCTTGTGACGTTGAAGTTGTTGAATGACACATTCCCTCTCCCTCCTTCCAGAGGTAGCCTCCCTCAGTTGTACAAATTCCCACCAAATCTGAAGAAACTAACTTTAGCAGATACATTGCTGGATTGGGGTCATATGTCTACGCTGGGGATTTTACCTAAGCTTGAGGTGTTGAAATTGAAAGATAACGCATTCAAGGGAGAATGGTGGAAGCTACTTGATGGAGGTTTTCGTCTGCTCAGAGTGTTGCAGATTGGGAAGACAGATTTAGTGTGTTGGGAGGCTTCGGCTCACCACTTCCCTAGACTTCAACGCCTTATTCTTAAACACTGTGAAAGCCTAGAGGCAGTCCCTTCTGGTCTTGGGGAGGTATCCGCACTTCAGAGTATAGAGCTATATCATGCCACCTCTACTGCTGTGGCCTCCGCCAAGCAAATTCAACAGAAGCAAGGCCTTGCAATCAATCGGCTTAAGCTCGTTATTTATCCTCCAGAGCTTTAAATTGTGGTTTCATGTCAAGGCTCAGTAGTACAGGTTAGTAAACATTTAAGAATTCTGCCATCATATTTGCTTCCAATTTTCCCACTACTGCTGAGCTACTAATTCAACTTGCGTCTTAATTGAGTTTTACAATAAATCTATTATGTTATTTAAATACCAGTACAATGTTATCTATCAAATAGTCTATGTTACTTGGGTTTTGTGGTGATGAGACAAATGCCTTATACTTTGAAAATGATTTTGGAGCTTGATTTGCCTTATACACTACGAAAATATGAGAGCAATGAATCATTCTCGATTTGTAGAGCAAATATTGTTTTGATAGACTTGATTTGTACTTCTGGCTAATGGCACGCTTCTAATACGAAAACATGCAACTTTCTCTTTTTATCTATATTACTGAAGTCCCAACTAATTCGCATATTATTCTCAACAATTTGTTGGGAATGCCTTTGGTTTAAGATTGAAATCATATTTGCTTGTTATCATCTATGTGAAGCACAACTTATTTATTACTTCAATTTGATCTATGGACCTATGACTTATTTGAATTGTGGAACAGCTTTGCTTCACCTGCAACTTATAAGACAAAAGATTATTGCCTAGTTTCTTCTACTGAATCTTGTCATTATTTACATAAACAGATGGACAGACTTCCATAAAACCAAATAATATTCTTAGCAGTTACTACGTAAACTATACTGCAAGTTGTCCATGAAGTCTTCATTATCAGATACTCCAAGCACAAAATTTTTTGCTCTAAGATGTCAGATGTTCTTTCTGATTATTTGTGATGTTTGATACTAGCTGTTTGAGTTCTTAATTGTTCCTCCAAGAAACCATCATTCTGATCGAGGATCATGATTATATTGAACAAGTTCCCCTTTCTAGTAGTCGCTTGAGCAGAGTGAATGCCCTGTACTGGTTTTTGTGTTTTTGGTACTACCCATGGTTTTTCAGATAGGTATTCAGCTTAAACAAAATTGGAAGGACTTTTCAGTTAGCTCTCTCTTAATGCCCTCATTATGATATATGTCTCTATTTTCCCATGCTAATGGGATTCATTATATAGACAATCCAAATGTTTCTATGCTTTTTTGAACATTGATTGGCTAATTATTCGAGGAACTAAATTGTTCAGGCGAATCCATCACATAAACTACATGGTCCCTTCGCATAGACTCTCATCTATTGCACTTTATCTTCGTGCAGGGGAATGTTGTAAGACACGAGGAGAAGCACTCCAACTCAATAAGCACATCCACAATCCTCGATATATGGGCTGACACTGAACATCTGCTCTCTCTACTATCTGGAGTTATGGCTCTGCATATTCCAACAGTTATGCTGCTAAAATGTCATTTTATTGAAATGCTATTTACTTTAAGCTATTTGTTGTTGTGATGTAATTGCGATCATGCTTCTTCTTCTTGTTTGATAATTAAATTCCAATTTTCCATGTTGTATAAAAGGACATGTTAAATGCCCTTTGGAGATATCCATATCGTGTATTGTTTCTTGTTTGTTATTAGTGGTGAACTCTAATTCTGTTATTCTCTTAGCCTATTTTCCGTCGAATTTTGGCTGGTGCAAATGTTTGATACATTGTGGGTGTTTCGGAAGTGGATTTTTTTGTAGGTTTTTTTAGTTATAGGATATTATTTGAGAATTTTTTTTGTGTTTGGGTAGATAGTTGGGTTTTTTTGTGGTTGGATGTGATGTTTGTGAGAGAAAAAGTGAAATGATTATGGGATTTGATGTAATATTTTGTTTGGATTTATTTTTTTTTGTTTTATAACCAATTTGTCTTTTAGTGAAAAAAACAAAAAAAAAAAATGTTTGATACATTGTGGGTGTTTCGGAAGTGAATTTTTTTGTAGGTTTTTTTAGTTGTAGGATATTATTGGAGAAATTTTTTTGTGTTTGGGTAGATAGTTGGGTTTTTTTGTGGTTGGATGTGATGTTTGTGAGAGAAAAAGTGAAATGATTATGGGGTTTGATGTAATATTTTGTTTGGATTTATTTTTTTTTGTTTTATAACCAATTTGTCTTTTAGTGAAAAAAACAAAAAAAAAACCAAAATACCAAAAAATTTCCTTCCCAAACACTGCCATTACCTTCTTTAGTTTTTGGGGAATGTGCTATATATGGTAGAGATGGTTTGGAAACTGATTTGATAATTTTTGAAACACATTGTAGAAATTTGTTTATTACAGGAAAAATTTCAATATAATGTACACTTTCAAAAAAATTAAAGATAAATGGTTAATTTATATACATTAATAATTAAAATCCTAAACTTTTCATCAATCTGTAGTCATTTTTTGATAGTACAACCGAGGGGTAATTTCCCCTTTTTATGTCATAAACTAGCCAAAAACAAGCAACCTAAAAGGTGACTATTCCATTTGGTCACAAATCAAGTGAAAGATGAGAAAATGCTCGAAATTTATTACAAGTCTTGAGTCAGAAAATCATAGAATAGACTAGGTTTCGAAAACTCTTTTGAATTGGTTGTAACATATCTGCAGCTTCAGTAGCTAATGCTCTATTTTGGAGTACTCTAATGTAGCCATATAAAGATTACTTGGTTGAGTTAAAAGTTCAAGAAAACCCAAGCCAGGTGAACTCGTAATAGGTGAGGGGATAAATAGGGACCAATGAAGCTCGTATGAGGGTCTTGGGAAGGTGTTATTTGACTACAAGCCCTTGGCGATGAGATATAGGACTTAGGTCAAGTTTGGCAACTCAAAATAAGTGCACACTTTTTATCTTTTTATCTTTTTTTTTATTATATCATCTCTCTACTTTTCTGCACATCTTTTCGTAAAAAGACAAAAAGTGCACTTATTTAGGTCATCCCAAACAACCCCTTAATATTTTTGTATAGATTGATGATATACAATCAAAGTTTTTATACATAATGATATAAGTCAATGATGACCTTCTACTTTAAAATTACATATTGGTGAGGAATCTACTGAAATTACAATGATCATGGGTTGAGAAAAAAAACAATTACAAATATATAGAATTTTCCCTTAAATGACCAATTTGCCACTTTCTTCCCCTCTTGTTCTATCTCTCTTCTCTTCCCTTTGCCACCTACTCTTGAAGAGAGAGAGAGAGAGAGGGAGAGAGAGAAACTTCAAAAGATGTTATTCATAATATTAAATCACTTTACATCACTGAACTAGGTCACTTCATATACACACACATATTGTTATTAATCAAACTCCTAACTAAGTTTGTTACAGAGTTCGTTACAAGCAAATTATCTCATATAACCAGACTACATGCTTGTGATGTTCCCTCAGCATCAATACCAATATTTAACCTGCAACTGCTATATATAGTAGCATTAGTATCTTTGATTGCATCAGTTGTAGCAGCTCTGTTTGGATCTGCAGGGGACCTCAATAACTCAGATTTGCTTGCATCCATTGGACCATGACTTATACCAGAGGTAGCTATTGTAGGTTCATTACACTTACCATCCCCTTTCAAGCCGAAAGGTGGGAGACCAACTAAAAGCTTGGACGGAAGAAAAAGAAATTTGGAAATAGGAAGATTACATATTGGTGAGGAATCTACTGAAATTATAATGATCATGGGTTGAGAAAAAAACAATTCCAAATATATAGAATTTTCCCTTAAATGACCAATTTGCCACTTTCTTCCCCTCCTGTTCTATCTCTCTTCTCTTCCCTTTGCCACCTACTCTTGAAGAGAGAGAGAGAGAGAGAGAGAGAGAGAGAGAGAGAGAAACTTCAAAAGATATTATTCATAATATTGAATCACTTTACATCACTGAACTAGTTCACTTCATATACACACATATATTGTTATTAACCAAACTCCTAACTAACTAAGTTTGTTACAGAGTTCGTTACAAGCAAATTATCTCATATAACCAGACTATATGCTTGTGATGTTCCCTCAGCATCAATACCAATATCTGATCTGCAACTGCTATATATAGTAGTATTACTAGCTTTGATTGCATCAGTTGTAGTAGCTCTGTTTGGATCTGCAGGGGACCTCAATAACTCATATTTGCTTGTATCCATTGGACCATGACTTATACCAGAGGTAGCTATTGTAGGTTCATTACACTTATCATCCCCCTTCAAGCTGAAAGGTGGGAGACCAACTAAATGCTTGGACGGAAGAAAAAGAAATTTGAAAATAGGAAGGGATTTGGTAAAGATATCGGCCACCTGATTTGAAGAAGCCACATGGCGAATAAAAAGTTGCTTAGCCTAGACTTTCTCACGCACAAAGTGATAATCAATTTCGATATGCTTGGTACGAGCATGAAACACGGGATTAGAGGCAAGAGAAATAGCAGACAATTTATCACACCAGAGTACTGGAACTGCAGAATGAACAATATGCATATCTTTAAGAAGCATATTAAGCCAAGCAACTTCAGCACTAGCTCAGGCCATAGCCCTGTATTCGGCTTCAATAGAAGACCAAGCAACAGTAGGTTGCTTTTTAGCAGCCCATAACACCAAATTCGGACCAAGAAATATGCAAAAACCAGAGGTAGAACGTTTATCACAAGGACAACTAGCCCAGTCAGCATCGGAGAAAACATGGAGGTCAAATGCACCAGTGGAAAAGGTTAAACCATACTGTAAAGTGCCTATAACAAACCTTAAAAGCCTTTTAACCATAACAAAGTGAACTTGAGTAGAACTATGCATATATTGACAAGCTTGGTGGACAGCAAAAGCCAAATCTAGACGGGTAATAGTCAAGTATTGAAGACCTCCAACAAGACTCTGATAAAGAGCAGGATTAGAGAAAGGGGCAGAAGTAGAAGGAAAAGCTTTAGCAAAAAGAAGAAAAGACGCTGGCTTGTAATCAGCCATGCTAGCTCGCTTGAGAAGAGTAGAGGCATGTTGAGCTTAAGACAAAAAATAACCAGAAGAAATAGAAGTGATAGAAATGCCAAGAAAATAAGAGAGATCCCAATTCCTTAAGGGAAAAAGCGGAATGTAACTGAGAAATCAAGTGTTGAAGATGAGAAGAGAAATTCCCAGTAACAAGAATATCATCCACATAAACCAAGAGATAGGTTAATGAAGAAGAGGAGGCTTGAACAAACATGAATTGTCACAATGTATATTGACAAAACCAAGAGAAAGCAAGAAATTAGAGAAAGTTGAAAACCATGCTCTTGAAGCTTGTTTCAAACCATAGACAAACTTGTTAAGCTTGCAAGCATAGGTAGGAAATTGAGAATGAACAAACCAGGAGGCTGAGATATGAAAACATCTTCCTCAAGCTTTCCATGCACAAAAGCATTTGATGCAGCCAATTGTTGAATAGACCAATTATATTAAAGAACAGTACAGAGAAAGACCCTGATAGTAGATATAATGGTTCCAGTTTAGACCCGATCCATTTCTTGCTTTTGAATCCAGGAATCCATGTCCTTAACTATTGTTCATTTCATTCTCATCTTATGGTTAGTTGAGTTTGATTATTTGGGAGTTATGGTTGTGTTTGAAACAGGTTTGGAGTTAGTTTTTCAAAAGAATTGTTGCCCGAATTTTTGCCTGTTCGCTCAAGTGGTCCTTCTTGAGCTCAAGCTGTCTTTTACAGTGTACAAAACTACTGGCAGTAAGCGGTCTTTCTTGCGTTCGAGCGGTCTTTTGCATGTTTGAACTTCTGGGAGGCGGTCATTGTGCGCTTGAGCAATGTTTTTGGTCACTCGAGCGGTGTCACTTATTGTATCTGACGCTCGAGTGGTGTTTTGGTTGCTCGAGCAGTTTGCGCATATATCAGTCCAAGAAAAGGGTATTATAAGTCATTTTATCATTTCTCTCTCTAAACATTCCAAAAACCCTAGTTCTTCACTCTCTCTCTCTAGTTCTTGCATTCTAGCTTCAAATACTCCCAATTTATTGATTTCTTCACCCTGGCCCTTTGGAGAAAAAAGTAAAGCACGTCGAGAGCTTTGTTTTAATCGGAGGAGTTATCGTTTTCGACTCTACCAAACTTCAACTCTTGTTCTCTCTTGTCTTCTACTTTGATGTAGGGATTTCTTCAACCTTTGGTCTAATTTTTACCTTAGTTATTTGTCTATTGATAGAATCTAGTGATTTGGGAATTTAGGTTAAACCTAGGGTTTGGTTTTGAATTGAAAAATAAGTGTTTTCAAATGAGTTCTTGAAAAAGGTTACGAGAATGTGTTTATGGTTGAGATATGTTAAAAAAGTGGATTTCTGTACTTAAAATTGATTTTGTAAGTCAAAGGGGTTTTGTTCTAATGTTATGGATATTTTGTTTGTGAAGGAAAATGGAACAATGTATATGTTGACAATAATGACGGAGTTGGATATGTAATATCACTCCCATTTTGAAAATGATGAGATTTTATCTTTTGTTAGAAATTATCTATCGTATAGAAATATTTGTTTTAGGCTATCGGTGGAAGATAGTTTCGATTGTTGTAGAAATTGTATGAGGATTTGGTGAATTAAAGCAAATAATTCATACATATTGCATTGAGCAATGTTGCATGCTTAAACATTGAAAATGTTTTGATTTGAGAAAAAGAGGTGAATACCTTGATGAATCTGATTAGGGGGTGTGGTTGTGGTTGTTATGTTGGCTTGTGTGTTCTTGGAGAAAGTCTAGAAACCCGCGCAATTAGGTGCCGATCCATCCAATTTGTACCAGTAAAATGGCTTTGGTAGTGCTTGCATAACCTACTGGTAACCACGTACATAAAGATTCCCAGTGTTTTGTATCCACAGTCCCATTTTCTGTTATAAAATGATTATTTTATAAAATGATCCATCCAGTTTAGTACCAGTAAAATGGCTTTGGTAGTACTTGCATAACCTACTAGCAAACACGTACATAAAGATTTCCAGTGTTTTGTATCCACAGTCCCATTTTCTGTTATAAAATGATTATTTTTATGAATTGATGCATAGTTTTTTTGAGATAAAAATGTGAAATGTTTGACAAATGACATGAATGTGCATTTAGCTCATGACTTTGTTAATATTCATATATTGCATTAAAGTATTTCTACTGAGTTTTAGCTCACCCTATGTAGAAAACAACTTTCAGGTGCTGATGATATGCCTCCACTAAGAACATAGCTTGGGAGAATTGGAAGCCAAGAGCTTCTTTTGTTTATTTGATGTAATTATTTTTGTATAAGTCTTGGACTTTAATTGTATTGAGTTAATCTCATTTTGATGTACCCAAGGATCGACCTGGAAAGATGTAACCATTAGGGAATATAATTACTTGATTTTACTTTTATTTTAAATTCGTGTATCCATGTCATACGCTATAGCTATAGGATCTAGGATTTATGAATGTATACCATATATTGCATCTTTTGTATGATCAAATTTATAAATAGAATATAAGATATGATGCTATTGATCATTTGTAAGGAATATTATGAGATGGGCTATTGTTATTTATTTCGAGCGTTACAACTTGGTATCAGAGCTACCGGGTTTGAATACTTTGGGATCGTAGGATGTGATTTTTACCATAATGAGTTATCTCAGTAGATGATGTTAGAAGTAGACCTGGTATGCTATGTGATAACATGCCTATATGACTAAATGAGTATGGATTTAATTTTTTAGATATTGATTGGGTCTACAAGTTTCTAGAAGTCTTGTTAGAAGAGCACTTAATCACTGCCGTTTCTAACTAGAACCTTGGCAATGTCGCGAGACGGTCACTATCTAGAAAGAAAGTTCGTTTGTGTTTATGTGATTATGTGGAGTAAATTACTTGTTGTCCACCGTACTAGGACGAGAGTGAATTAGGTTTGGCACATTTGTAAATGTGCTAATCTATTGTATTATCTTTATTAGGATATCAAGATGTGAATGTAGTGGTGGTAGACATAATAGGCCTAGGCGGCAGGAAGTGCCAATATTACCAGATCATATTCCAGCGCAAGAGGAGAGAGTTGGCCAAGCCAACGTGGCCGAGCTAGCAGGTCAGTAAGCCGTGGGCGCTTTGACCTGTGAAATGGATGGAGCTTTGTGGCAATCCATGGACATTCTCAGGGCTGAGAGTCAAGTCCTAGCCTATGTTGCCAAGACACGACTGTCTTTTGTAAAGAGGGAGTTATTCTAGTTGAATCTGGATGAGTTTTTGGAAGATCCGAAGGAGCAATTGAAGGCGGATGAGTGGCTTGAACAGATGTTGAAAATGTTCAAGATGCTTGGTATTGAGGATGACAGTTTGATGGTGACTTTGGCATCCTTCCAACTAAAGGGAGATGCGGGTCAATGGTGGAAGTATGCATGAAGGTGCATTGGGGTGACTTGGGAGCCTTTGTCAATGTCCTTCAAGGCAAGTTTTTGCCTCCCACTACTATGGAGAAGTTGAGAGATCAGTTCTTGAAGCTCAAGTAGCTGAACACACCTATAGTCAAGTTTGAAGCTACTTTTACTAGCCTCTCTAGATTTGCACCAGAACTTGTGGCGACTGAGGAACGTCGTTATGTCGAGTTTGAGAAGAGATTGAGGACCAGGCTCCTTTTCAAGGTGGTCGAGTCTATGATTTAGGATTACAATCACCTTGTGGAGGTGGCGACTTACCTAGAGACTGTGATCCAGGCGAAGAAGGAGCGGATGAGGAGCTCCAAGCAAAGGAGTTAGGAGGTTCAGGGGGAGACTTGGGACAAAAAAAGGCAGAGAGGTTCCACCCCACAGTAGTCCCAGGCAGTATAGTTCAGATCCACTTTTCTTGTACCGAGTTCTGGTTCAAGGAAAGGTAGTCAGGGTAGGATCACTTGTTTTAAGCGTGGTTAGCTGGGTCACAAGTCTTCAATTTTTCCACAGAGAGGAGAAGGGCAACAGTTTGCACTGTCTTCAACTCGTTCTTAGAGCCAGAGTCATGGGAGAGAGCAGCCACCTACCTATTATTAGTGTGGGCAGTCGTGGCACTTGAGGAGGTTTTGCCCTTAGGTAGGTGGCACGACTGGTGCATCTAGTTTGAGACAGACACATCAGCCTACCCTTTCAGCACAAGCCTCGAGAGCCAATTAGGAAGCCTCTTTGGCTCAATCAGTGTATCAGACCTATGCTCCGAAGGGTGAGCAGGTAGAGCAGAGACCCACAGAACGTATGTATGTTGTTACCACGCCGGATTAGTTGCCAACGCCCTTTGTTATAAAAGATAACTTTTTGTTGTTCAATTCTATTGTCAATGTGTTGATTGATGCTGGTGCATCTCATACTTTCATTTCGTCTGCATTCGTATCAGTTTGGGGTTAAAAGTGGCTCAATTAGCATCTCCACTCAGGGTAGAGTCACCAGTTGGGGGTAAGGTTGGCTTGGACTGGGGATGTCACGATTGTGAGATAGAGGGTGCCAGTCACTGACTTCCTTTTGCTTTCGTATTATTAGACAAGTCGGTTTTGATGTCATTTTAGGCATGGATTGGTTGTCTTCATACCGTGCTATTATAGATTGTTATCATCAGAGGGTTACAGTGTGTACCTCGAATGGTGACTACTATTATTTTCTCAAGGACCGAGCTGATAAAATTTTGTCACCAGTGTATGACTCGCGTGGTTGGGGCGAGCTTAATTGTTTTCTTGCAACCTTCTTGGGTAATGAGAGTGATGTGGTTCGAGTTGATTTACCGAGAGTAGTTTGTGAATACTCAGATGTCTTTCTCGAAAATCTTACTAGTTTGCCACCCCACTGAAAGATTGAGTTCTCCATTGACTTAGTGCCCGGCATGGGACCAATTTCTATGGTACCATATAGATTTGCACTCGCTGAGTTGTATCAGTTGAAGATTCAACACTAAGAACTATTAGATAAAGGCTTCATTCATCCTAGTACATTGCCTTGGGGAGCACTGGCTCTCT